ATAGATTCCAATAAGTTGTATTTGCATTGTTATTTAATTGTAGAAACTGATTTCTTCTTTAATTTCCTCTGTGACTCACTGGTTATTCAGAAGTGTGTTGTTCAATTTGCATGTGTAGATGAAATTTTGCAGTTTGTTTTGCTATTGATCTCCAATTTCATCACACTATGATCTGATAATATACAGGAGATAACCTCAATTCCTCTACACTTACTTAAATATGTTCTATGAGTGAATATGTGGTCTATTTTGGAGAATGACCCCTGTGCAGCTGAAAAGAATGTGTATTCTGATTTGGTAGGGTGGAACACTGTGTAAAAATCTGTTAAATTCCTTTGTTCAAGAGTTTGATTGAGTTCTACTATTTCATTATTTTCTGTCTAGTTAATCTATTTATTTGTGACAGTGGGGTATTGAGGTCCCCTACTACTATTGTAGTAGTGTTTATTTGATTTTTCATGTCAGTTAGTATTTGTTTTATATAGTTGGGTGCATTAGTGTTTGGTGCATATATATTTATGATTGTCATCTCTTCCTCTTGGATTTTTTCCCTTCACAAGGATGTAGTGTTCTTCTTTGTGCCACTTAATCAGTGTTGGTTTGAAATCCACTTGATCTTTAAAGAGGATAGCTACTCCTGCTTTTTGGGGGGTTCCTGTCTCCTGGAGTATTGTTTTCCATCCTTTAACTTTCAATCTCTGAGTTTCTTCTTGAATTAAATGTGTTTCTTGCATGCAGGATAGTTTTGAGCCTTGCTTCTTGACCCCTTCTGCCAGTCTGTTTCTTTTGATTGGTGAATTGAGGCCATTAACATTGATGTATTAACTTATCCTTGTCATGACGTTTTCTTTTTGTTGGATTCTCCCCCTTTGCATTTAATTTCTTGTAGTGCCTCATGGAATCATTCTGCTGGGATTCCTGGTGCTGTGATACTCATTGTCTTTTCCTAGGATATTGTCTAAAATTTTTTGGAGTGCTGGTTTAGTATTCATGAAGCCCCTCAGGTGCTTTTTGTCATGCTTTTGTCTCCATCAATTTTGGAAGATAGTTTTGCAGGGTACATCAATCTGGGTTGGAGGTTGTTTTCCTTTAGGGCTTGAAATACTTCACTCCAAGGCTCCCAGCACAGAGGAGGAGGCTTCCGGGTCGATGTGCCACTGCTCTCAGTGCAGAGGAGGAGGCTTCTGAGCCAACATACTGCCCCTCTCAGCACAGAAAAGGTGAGCTGTGCAGGCTCCAGTAGCACCTCCCATCCTGTCAAAATGAGAAGACATGTAAACAATCTCAAAACCAGACTTCCAGATCACCTACAGCAACCTCAAAGGGAAATGAGATGGAACACTGTGATACTCAACCACCTGGACTCCCTGAACTGGCAACAAAAGAGGATCTGGAAAAAAT